TTCATTTTCTTTTTCTCTATTTGCCGCCAAGTGATTTAAAAAAGATTCTTAAAAAAAACGGCGCGGAAATTTTCCCATCTTCAAGCAGATATTGGAAAGGAAGTTCCTATCGTGATCCAACCTCATTATCTTTCTCTGAAACTTTAAAAAAATGAAAAAAGAAAGAAAAATGAAAAAAAAAAGAAAAAAAAAACACAATTTAGTGAACGATACGACTTTACCTTTCAATATCTGCTTGAAGATTACGATTTCTTCAAGTTTCGAAATAGGGATTTTGCTTTCGATAACTTCTGTACTGAATCTTTAACCAACAACCAACATGGCCAGCTTTGTAAGAAAAAATGTTTAATAAGTGAAAATGGGTGTTAGTGGATTTTAATTGCACTCTACAACCCGTGGAATGAAGTTGTATTTTCACGACTGAGATCACGTGTGTTTGACAGTTGAAGGCGGTAACTATGGTAACATGTAACTATGGTAACAGGTACTCCAGATCTTTCTCCGATGAATGTATTCACCTGGCTTTTTAACTACAAACTCAGTGTGAACATTAGCTGAACATCATAACGAAAATATCTATGAAGTTTTTTATTCACTTGTTCTCGGGATCTATCTACTACTAGCCTTTTATCTGAATATTAAAAACTATATATTTGTGATGATGTAATGACGATAAAGGCTTTTATGTGTGCAGGTCATGAAATTACTTATAAAAACTTTTACGGGTACGGTGAGGCTTTCGACTGACATGTTTCTAAGATATTTTTCTATCATTAGTCTTGTATTATGGATAAGTACCTTAATGAGCACTGTTCTTCGGGTTATTCTTATTCTGTAAAAAAGTGGTGTAGTCATTGTAGGGAAATCATTTGTTTGATGTGTAATTAATTCGTGTGGAATAAAGGGAATACTTTGTTTTCTACATCTTGTCTTCGTTTAAATCTTGTCGTAGTAGTGAGCAGAAATTATAACATGTCTCTTCAGGGAAGGAGATATTCACAACAATAGGGTATTTTATTGTTATTGTTCACACATTAAGGAAAATAGTACAGCACAAAGTGGTAGTGCACTCGGGTAGTAAGACTTGACATTTCCGTGAAAATTCACTCTTGCATATCAAAACTCCCCTTTAGAGTTCTATACAGTGAAAACTTCCAGCTCCACAAACCGTTCCACATATTCCATTGCATTCTGAGAGTTGCGGGGAACTCAGGGGATATTAAAACGGTCGGAAATGAAATAAAATGAGACTGAGAGAGCTCAAAGTTTTGATATTAGATTAATCCTTTAGACGGAAAACTAGAAGCGAAAAGATCACACGTGCCTAGTAGCTGTAAACAATTAAAGACACATTTTCACTCACTCGTGGCAAGCTTCAATATTTAAGACTTTTCCTCTAGTCTTGTTTCTTCAAAGAAATTCCGGGGAAATCATTGCAGATTGCCTCCTCTGCTGTTGACGCACTCCAGACTATTGAGTGATTAACAGTAAAATATGCAATACCTGAGCTCTACAGCACGTAACGACTACAAACAACGTGTGTAGATAGACTCTCCAAGCAGAGGTGTGGTGGGGAAGGGAAAGGTGAAGGTAACCTTTTTAATATGCTCCGTTTTTTTCTCTCGCTTCGTCCCAAAAAGTGACAATCTTCCCCACCAACCTCTGCTTGGAGAGTATCTAAATAGATCACCAATGCCACATCTCCAAGAAAATTCACTCCTGTGTATCTTAACTCCCCCCTAGAGTTCTGTACAGTAATAGCTTTCAGCTCCCAAACTTTAAAAAGAAGAAATAGAGGCGAAAAGATCTCACCCGCCAGGTTATGTATTACTTGACTTTTGAAACTAGAGTTCTGTGCAGTGATAACGTTCAACTTCGAAAACTTGTTTTACATATCCCATTGCATTCTGGGAGACGCGGGGAACCATGGGTAGCTCAGGGGAAATGACAAAAAACGTTGGGAGACCTCATACATTGCCTTCCGCATGTAATTATCTTTATGCTATGAACATAACACCATTTGCATAATATATGGCTGAAAATAAGAGCTATAGAGATTTTGATAGTACAATGCCAAAGAAGGGTAAAAAACGAAAAGGGCCATGCGTGTGTACGTGTGCAGTAGCTGGTTGACAATTTAAAACATGTTTACACCAAGGAGGCAGGTTTCAATATGTAAGACTCCATCGCTGTTTTCCCCTCTTCAAAGAAATTCCGGGGAAATCATTGAAGATTGCCTCCCCCGTGTTGCGGCCAGCTCCAGACAATATATTGAGTGATGAATTAAGTAAATATCAAGTGTGTTAGGTAACACGTAACGGCTACAAACATAACGTGTGTCCTACGCAACATCAGGAAAATTCACTCTTGTTTATCTAAATTGTGCACACATGGGGGGGGGTCTTGTGTTGCAGTAAATCCCTCAAATAGACTACAGTTTTCTAAACTGAAGAATTTAAGAGTATATAGGAGTATTTGGCTCGGCGGATGAATAGTGCCACGAGAGTGAATGTAAGGACAGGCAGGATACAACAACATACAGATTACATGACTTAGGTCCGAATTGATTTATAGAGTGGGTTCATGGTGAAAGTTGGTGAATGGTTGGCGTTGGTTCGTCCTGGTTATTTTTTTATTGCAGGAAAAATACACCCATGCTTTCCTAAACTGTACATACATTGGGGGAGGGGCTTACTGTAGTATAGATCTTTCAAACACATTACCGTTTTTCAAACCGGAGAATATAGGAGAATCTAGCCTGGCGGATGAATGTTAATTGAGGCTACGTGACTGATAAAGTCAGACGTTAGGTTATTATTTTTTTATTCCAACATGTAATCACAAAACGTGGTGACGGCACACTCAAGTTTTTTTCAACTTATATTAATGCCGCCACCAACACAGGGGACAATACAATACTCATTTTTACCTGAGCGAAGTGAGGAAAGTCGTGTAAAGTGCCTTTTCCCAAGGGCACAAGATCGGCTACGCCACACGACCCCACGTTAGGTTATTTCTCCTCCTATCATTGCTTAATCTAATTTCACTTTACCTAAAGAAGTGCACACCTTGCACCCTGCCTATCCAAGAAAAATAAAGGTAGGGTTATTTAGGCATTTCTGAGTGACAAAAAAAGACGAGAGAAAAGGTAGAGGTTCGCGTGTGAAAGTTTTGGTTTGGTCCGTTTTTCAAGGCCGCAAATCAACCTACAGGCTGCTTTTCGTTAAGGTCATGTGAGAGATGGTGAATTGAAAGAAAGACAGACAAACAACATACAGATTACATGATTTAGGTCTGAATTTATTTATAGAGTGGGATCCTTACGCATACATAGTATCACAAAGACCCATGGCATACATGGAGGGAAAGTTGGTGTATGGTAATCTCCAAGCGTCTTTGGTGTTCTTGCGTAATTTCTGGGTAATCTCCAAGCAGATCATACGGTAGCAAGGCAGTATCCATTGGCCAGAGGAGTGTCTATTAGCCAATCCGTTGGCCAATGGATACTGCCTTGCCACCGTATGATCTGCTTGGAGATTAGGTGTATTATCCGTTCCTTGTTGGTTCGTTCTGGATCTTTCTGTTATTGGAGGCTTAATGGAGGTCAGAGTTCAGGCCGTGCGGGCATAAATCGTCTGAAGTTGACCCCAGAAATTAATCTCCAAGCAGATCATACGGTGGTAAGGCAGTATCCATTGGCCAGAGGAGTGTCCATTAGCCACCGGTGGCTAACATGGCTAATAGTCACTCCGTGGCCAATGGGTACTGTCCTGCCACCGTATGATCTGCTTGGAGGTTACCCGGAAATTACGCAAGAACAACAAAGACGAACGTAACATCCTACCCAACTTAAATTAAGCCATGGTCATCAAGACAATGACAATCTTGAATCAAGAACATGGAGAGATTTACCACAAATGACGTGAAGAGTCGATCGTGTATTTATTTTCATTTTGTTTAACAGAATATAGATATTCTAAAATAGTAGTGGTTGTTGTTTATTTTTCAATTTCACTTTCTGCTGACATTATTACTAAGATAAAAAAAACGTCATCATCGACTTAGAAAAAAATTGACCAAACTGATTTGAAGCCAAAATCTGGCGTCTTATCAGCATAAAAAGGGATAAGGCTGTCCTTAATATAAGGTCAATCCTAGACCCTACGTTTGAACAAACACCGTCGACAAAATATGCATCCGTTCAGCACCCTATGATCCGATTGGTCGATCATTGTCATACATTATGTAAACTTATGCAGGTAAGGTAAGGTAAACCTCTCGCTAGCAGAAAGCTGAAAACGCCATATTGTTCGACGTGCTCATGCGAGCCGGCTACTGTTTTGGGAAGTCCAGAAAAACCCGGTCTGTGGATGTTGGACAAGACACTCGACATCATCGGAAGATCGACAGTATCTGTGAGGTGGGTTTTCAATCGTTATCAACACGTGGAACTTGATGATTATTTAGCTGAAAATTCGACAATTTTTCCTCTTTTTGCTTTTTTTTTCACACAAATACGTATCAAATCTTGTCGAATTTCGACATTCCAGCAAGCTCGCTACTGACTCGACAATGGCGGACAAGACATTTGAGATCATCTGACGATCGGCAGTATCTTTGAGGTGGGTCTTTATTAACACACATTACAGCTGTTCGTAAAATAATATGATAGAAACGGATTATTAGTTGTCTAAAATTCCTAGACATTTTGTTTGTTATGTTTTACTTGTCACACAAATGTATGATAATATCATCATCAAGTCAAAATTAAGGCCACACCAATTTAAGTTGTTTGTTCACGAAATTTGCCCACTTCATTTTGTCTGATTTGCAAAAAAAAAAAAAACAACAACAAAACATTTCAGCCTCAGAATCAACTCCAAAATGCTCATATTTTGGCCGCAACAGTTGAAGGAAGTCCCTTTTCTTCAGAGTTGTTACAGTTTTTACATCTTAAAAGTTTGAAATTCATTGTTTAAATTACAGAATAACTTGGTATATTGACTTCATGGCTCCTAACATAGCATTTGAGGCTATCATAGGATGCCAAGGCCTGTTTTTATTTTTTCAATTTTTTTCGCCCTGTCTCTTCTGAAAAAAATCCGAGAATCAACAAATCAAATTGGCGTGGCCTAAGCAAGCATGTCCAACACCCGATATTATATTCCTAGTGCAGTGTGACGCAGTTGTGTTCCTTTTAATAATGTTGCTATAATTTCGTGATCAAAATGTAGAATTTTCTTTCCACGATCGTCCGTAGTTGTTCTGAATATCCTACTGATTTAATGGCTTTATTTGGGACTATCGGAGTTTACGGTCATGCCCCATATGGTGGATATAGTGGTACACATGGTATCGAGTTTCACTCGCTTATTAACGTCTCATAGAAGCAGACGCAAACAGTAAACACCTACATACACGTGTTAAGAGCGGCGAAAATGTCCTTTTTAGTCAGCCCAACGGATCCAGAACGACTGTGTAGCGAAAGCTTGTTTGTAACAAGAAATTAGCACATAATTGGCAGGTTTTTTTTCAGTAGGGATTGTGCGTTTAGAGATTCTTGGCAATTGTATTACACGGTGTAGGGTAGATATTCTATACATAAAAATAACTAATATCAATATTTTTCGGGTAGGTTGTCTACATTTGTTAGCATGGGTGTCATCCGATTTGTAACGGTAATCGGATGATTTTCCGGGTTGCCGTTACAAATCGGATGGCACCGAGGCTACATTTGCCACAATTTAAAGAAAAACTCATGCATGAGACCTTAAAAATACACACTTCATAATGTCAGCCCAGTTTATGTTCTCAAACAGGCTGTATTGGGGAAGGGTTTTTGTTAAACACAGACCGTAGAATGCCTAATTGATTGAGTGTTTTCGATAGAGACTTTTACACAAATTTTTGAATTGATGTATTTCCGTTCTGGCATGGTAACATGGAAATAAATAGACGGGTAGTAAAATGTCAGCACTCACGAACTCACGCGCAAGGATTGACGGGTAGACTTTTTGGCGGCAAAGCTAAATTTGATCCCTTCTGTGGTTTGTTCTACACTGATTGGCTCTTCGTAATATACTACCTTAACGACTTTCTGAGTTGGCCTCGGTGCTGTCCCAAATGTTAGGCCACTTGAATTTCCTTGGTACTGGAAAATTGTTGGAGTGGATGTGTCAAATAAAACAGGTATTTTGTGAGAGACCCCGATGCGTCCACTGTGCATGCACAGTGCAGAGTCACTTAATGCATTGATAAATCTATAGGGCCGAATTTTTCAGAAAACAACTAATGGTTAAGACTATTTCTTTGAAATTGGCCAACTATATGGCAGTACCTTTCTTTATTTGTTAGTACCAAAATGTTCCTCTTGGTAGGTCAATATTTGAAGGTTAATATTCATGAGTGTGCATTACTAATTCTAAATCTGGTCAACCTGGTCAATTATTATTACTACATTAGGTGTATCATTCTCGTATGCTAGTGTTTCTGGTTTGTAGGCATGTATCTCTTTGAAATTACAACATATGTTAGAGGGATATATTTACTTTTATAATATATTACTTAAATTGGAAAAATATGATTTGTTTCATGTACAATTTTTCCCTAGGCTTATAGTTGACACCCAGACTTTTTTTGAGTATCAACAATATGGATGGTAAAATGTTGAGCATCTTTGAATGCCTATAATTCTTGACCCAAAACATTTTCAATATCCTGGAATATGTTCATTTGACTTTTTAAGATATCTGACCTGTTCTTTAAATGTATGCCAGTACTTGAAGTTCCACATTGTAAACAATATGGCTGGCAACATTTTAGGGAAGTGTGAGAGTCTATATTTTCGTATCAAATGAATGGATCTCTTCTGCATCCTGCAATAGTGTGGGGGATATGTAGTTATATTTTTTTCACTTTGAAGAAGATCATTTTATATTTTTGAATCTATGCCAGCACTTGAAGTTCACACACTGTAAACAATGTGGCTGACAAAAAATAATATTGCATTTTAAACGCCTTTGACAACCAATATTTCTGCATCACAAGTCATGATATCTTTTGACATTTTAGCACATGTTGGATTGATGTAGGTAGTCAACTTCCATCATAGTTTAATACAACAATTAATGTAATATTTTAGAATGTATCCCAATGCTTCAGTACAACCAATATGGCGGACCAACATTTAAGTAACTTTGACAGTCTATATTTCTGGATCAACACTACCTGTATATGGTGAGATAAGCCCTGATTAGGTGCGCCAACCTTAGAAAAAGCCACCGAGTGAGCGTAGCGAACGTTTTTATCATACTACAATACGTTGTTTACTACAAGGCTTAACACTACTATTAATGTCCTGTCCCCTGTATAAAGGTACTGTCCAAAAGTGGTCGGTTATACAAACAACTGACCACTTTTTTCATTATTCACCACATATGATGTTACGCCTGATATCCGATGGGAAATGAAGGCTTCTTATTTGTCGACATCGCTTTATGATAATTAGAATTATGCCCACATTACTGACTTTCTGAATCTTTCTGTCTTTCAGGTTGCTTCAGCAATGGCGGGTCTGAAGCTGTCCCTTTTTGTCCTAGTCCTCCTCGCGTTTGGCCCGAGTCAGGCCGGCCCGCCATGCACTAGGCTCTGTGAGGTAAGGCGCACTGGTTCTTGCGCTAGGCTCGGGGAGATCATAATTGTCGGGAGTGGAGGCGGGCTGCCTTGTGCCACGTGCAACACGACCGGGCAGGCCGATGAGAATCAGCTCGGGTGTCTCCCAGGCGATCTGAAGAGGCTGCAAGTGGCGGGGCACTCCGACAGAAGCGGCCAGCTGAAACCACTGCCCCGCCTTGGCCAACTCCTCACTCTTGTTCTGGGGCCCGGAAACATCCGTACCGTCGGAAGAGGAGCGTTCGCACCAGTGAGCGGCATTTCGGCACTATCCATGGAAAAGAACGCCATCAAAACCGTTGGAAGCTGGTTTGGCGGGATCACCAAGCTAGAGAAGCTCGCGCTGTCTTGGAATGAAATCGAAGAAATCAAGGAGAATGCCTTCCAGCCACTGAGACGGCTGGGCTATCTGGAGCTGAGGCACAACCGGCTTCGTGCTGTGGAAGAGTCCCACTTCTCAAGCTTGACCAAACTCAAGGGTCTGCACCTCAGCTACAACAGCATCTCACACATCGCTGGGAGGTCCTTCTACCGTCTGTCCATGCTACACACGCTCTCCCTGGATCACAACAAGCTATCGTTCCTCGGCACCGAGTGGCTACAGGGGTTATACAGGGGCAAAGTCTATATCCATATCCGTCTCAACAACAACCTGATCTCGACCATCACCCTGGAGTCGATCGCTGCCATGTGCGGAAGTAAAAGGCGTGTCTACATCCAGGAGAATCCCTTCCGCTGCACCTGTGCGCTGGCGAGGCCTTCACTGTCTTCTCCTTGTTTCGACAATCGGGACAGAATGCGATGCAGCTACCCGCCTGGCCTCTCGGGAAGAAAGGTTGACGACGTCGCGAGGGGAGAGATGCCGTGCCCGCCACCCGCAGCCAAGGTGTCACGCCGAGACCGCGGAGCCACTCTCGTGTGTGAGGTCTTCTGGGAGAAGCGACCAGAGATCGGATGGATGGATCCAAACGGGAGGGCCGTTGGAGACCGACAGGCGCAAGACCGATGCGGCGGCACGGTGACCACACGCCTGGAGCACGACTACCCCACCACCAAGTCTCCTGAAGGGGGACAAGTGCTCCCAAGAGACGCCTCCAGCCTACCCTACATCGGCAGGTCCACCTCCACCCTCCACATGAACCCGCAAGCCTACCAGTGCTGGACGGGGGGCAGCTTCCGGTGCGTCGTGAAGTCTGCAACAACAGGCAGCGTCTTTGCAGATCTGCCCCTGACCAAGTCAAGTGAAGAAGACCCGAGGCACGACCACACCGTGACGACAGCGGCCGGCTACACCTCAACACCTGCCCAGCGGAACGCAAGGATGACAGAAAAGGTCGCCAGAACCCCGGATAAGAACCCCCGGCAGGACGGCATCACTCCGGCAGCTGATAAGGCAGAACGGCGCACCGCCATGACAGCAGTCCTCACCGCCAAACCTACCCGGCAGAACGGAAGGGTTACAGGAAGCATGGGCAAAATCACGGACAAGGACGGCAAACAAGACGGCATCACTTCATCAGATTATAGTCCACTTAATATCATGATGATAGTATTTTACAGCGTGGGAATCGCAATCGTGGTTGCGATAGTTGTCGACAGGGTAGTGAAGAAGTGCAAGAAGTGGTACGAGGAGCGACAAGAGCAGCGGCAAAACTTACACGGCTACGCCGCAGGCGCGATCGGAGGCATACCGCTGCAAAACTTCCAGCCGCCGGCCGCAGTCTCCACGACTGGGAACCCTGTACCTCCTCAACAGGCGAACGATGACGCCCAGGACGACGCATCCATCACTCCGTATGCGGAAACGTCGCGTCTGGAAAACCCCATGTATGGCGCAGACGTGGTGCGGCCAAGAGGTGCGACCTCGGCGTCCCCAGACCCTCGGCCAGGGCCCAGCCTGGGGAATGCCCCAGTTCCACCTCCGCGATCGGACAGGCCAGGAATCGCCGCCAGCGACTCTCACTACTACCCACCAGGCACGGCCACGACTCGAGCAAAAGACGTCCCACCTCCCCAGACCAACAGGCGCGTCAACCCTAACGTGTCAGCGCAGGCAAAACGTTCAGGCAAATCTGCTACGCGAAGAAACCGCAGTGCATCTTGCGGCAGCCGAAGGGCCTCCTGCGACAACCGCAGGGCCTCCTACCACAACCGCAGGGCCTCCTACGACTCGCAGGTCGAAGGCGTCAACCTGTACCTTGACCTGAACGGCCCACCACACCACTCTGGCTCAGACATGCCTCAAGCAGAAGACGTAAACTCAAGCGTCTCAGCACATCCCAAACGTTTGGGGAAGGCTACGCTGCCAAGAACACGTGGAAGAGCCTCCTACGACCCGCGAAGCTTGGGAGTGGAGGAAGAAGAGAACACAGAAGGCCCCAACCTTTACCTTGATCTGAACGGCCTAAAACGGCAATCTGACTCGGAGATGCCTCAAGCAGAAGATATCCCGGATCCACTTCCACGGACCAACAGATACGTCAACTCTAACGTGTCAGCACATCCACAAGACTCGGACATGTGTCAGGCAGACATGATTCCGGACCCACTTCCCCGGACTCACACCTACATTAACTGCAACGTCTCAGCACAGCCACACCGCTTGGGAATGTCCGAGACCTCTTATGACAACCCTAGGTTGTTCTATGACAGTCGTGGAGAATCCTACGACAAGCATGGGGCGTCCTACGACAACCTACGTAGGGCCTCCTACGACAACCGCAGTGCCTGCTACGACAACCACAAGGACTCCTACGACAACCTACAAAGGACAACCTACGTCAGCACATGCACAAGGTTCGACATGCCTCAGGCAGAGAGAATTCCGGATCCACTTCCACGGATTCACACCTACGTCAACTCGAACGTCTCAGCACATCCACAAGGCACGGACATGCCTCAGGCAGAGAGAATTCCGGATCCACTTCCACGGATTCACACCTACGTCAACTCTAACGTATCAGCAGAACCACGACACACCTGATCATGGAAAAATGTTACAAAAATTCCCCAAAGGATACAAAACTTTCTACCGCCGTTAGAACTTCTTTGGCCCTATATTTTCAGGCAATAGCTCAAGAATTGTTCTGAATACTGTACTACATACAACAACGCTTAAGCCTTATTGTGGGACAGAAAATCAAACGCATGTTAATCCTAGTTCTCAGAACACTTTGAAGCAAACATATATTTTTATCAATAGTGTACAAGTAAATACTTCAAGCATTGTAACACTAACAGACAAACATCTGGTTCCAGACATTTGATAAAAGAGAAACTCTGTCACCTGAGGCTTACAACAAGGACTGGAGACCAAACCTGGCATGGAATTGGACTATGATTATGGACAACGATTCTGTTTTGACGCTTGGAAAACTGTATACAGTTTTTTAAGCTTTATACATGTATTGATTGTATGCTGCCAGTCTAGAAAGACCTGGGCTCGATTCCCATTTATACCTGCCATTGTAAAGCTTGTCTATTTATTTTAGTTGTTGTGAAAACACCAGATTATGACGAAATTTCGAGCTAGTGGAATTATCCAACATAACGTGACAAAGGTTCATCTTGTGATTATGTTACACAGACATCATTTTATAGGTGACTTTGTGATTGTTACCAACTTACCAACTTTTTGTATGTTTTGTACAGGTGATGAAAACTTGCAGCAAAAAGTGACTTCTGTATTGTATTTTCTAATTCTAATGATTGATGTATATAGACGTAGTTCTTATGTATTCATGTCTAAAAAGGGATAGAAGAAGGCTCCTATAAGGATGAAGATTTAGAATTTTGTTCGTAGTAGTAAATGTCTTGCTATTCTGGAGAGGAGACAGAAAGTATTGGAAAGATGATTATTGACAAGTCAAGAATGAGACATTGTGAGGCAAACGTGCAACAAAAACTGACTTCTGTAGTATATTTACAAACTAGTTGAAGTGTATTATGTAGTTCGTATGCATTCATATCTAGAATGGGGCTACAAGAAGGTTCCTATAAGGATGAAGATGAAGAATTTGTAGTATAAATGCCTTGCTGTTCTGGAAAGTATGAGAAAGATGTTCAAGTCAATTGATGAGAATTGTCTGAGTGTTGTAGGGAAGTATTTTGTGTGTTGAAAATCTTGCCAACTAAGAACTGAGAGTTCTGAATGTTGTATTATCATCATTGATATCGGTGAGCAATACAATGGTCTAACTGTGACTTGACATTGTGGCTACCGGTTTCATTAATTGATGGACCTCTAGACAGCAGTTTAGGAAACCGCAGTTCAGTCCAGATCTTCCCACATAGGGTGTTGGATTAATGTGAGTTCATTCTTAACAAAACCCATAATATTCTTTGAACTTGCCCCGTCCACTTGATCAAAGTCTATAAATAAAAGTTAGCCATCAGCCAATTAAAACCAGGGTTAGCTACAAGTTAGTCCAACCCAATGTTAAGTCTAAGGTTAGCCATCAGTCAGTCCAACCCTTTACTCAGGTCAAAGGTTAGCCATCAATCCGTCCAATACCATGTCAGGTCAAAGGTTAGCCATCAACCTGTCCACCACTAGTTCAGGTCAAAGGTTAGCCATAAATCCATCCAAGACCATGTCAGGTCAAAGGTTAGCCATCAACCCGTCCAAGACCATGTCAGGTCAAAGGTTAGCCATAAATCCGTCCAAGACCATGTCAGGTCAAAGGTTAGCCATCAACCCGTCCACCACTAGTTCAGGTCAAAGGTTAGCCATAAATCCGTCCAAGACCATGCCAGGTCAAAGGTTAGCCATCAACCGGTCCACCACTAGTTCAGGTCAAAGGTTAGCCATAAATCCGTCCAATCGGTTAATCAGTTAGTTCAGCCAAGGTCAAATTAAGGGTTAGGCATCAATCCGTTCAGGTCAGGTCAAAGGTAAGCCATCAGTCAGTCCAACCCTAAGTTGGGTTAAAGGTTAGCAATAATAATTGGTCCAACACTGTGTAAGGTTAGTGCGATAGATAGAGGTGTGATCGGTGGGCCCTTTGTCACAACATATGGAAGTTGTAATGCTAACTGTATGACGACACTACAACAGATTTTTTATAGATTTTAGACTTCATAAAACGTCACACATCTGTTAACATTAGGACCCTTCACCAAATAGCCTGTAGCATCGTACATTGGATACAGAAAGTCTATCTCAAACACCCCAAACGATACAAAAGTTACCAATCAGTTGCCGCCATCTTGAATACCGTGGCGTGAAAACGAGGCTAGATGACGTCACAGCCCTTGGCCTAACTCCATGAGCTCTTACCTGTTAATTATTGCATTCTTTTGTCGACTTTTTTCGGGACCTGGTATTGTTTTGGTTATTTTCACTCGGAAAATATGGAATATGCGACACCTTGCGGGTTATGTGTAATTTGCACCTTTCCTAGGTAGCATCAGGAGATGGCTGTAGTCTAGCAAAACTCGCAAGAGGGCGCTCTACGAAAGGGACTTATTCTTGTTCTTAGTACCTACATTAGGCAGGCTCAGGCACAGTCCTGGATAAAGGATGGTACTGGATACAATGATCATGCTTTTCTAGTATAGTCTGTAGAGGATGGTCATGGTAACACTCTTAAGGGCCCTTATGACTCCATGTGTTAAGTCATAGCAACATGGAAGTCTGACGTAAGAACGCGACGTTAAGGGGGAACAATTATTCACCTTGTGCAATCAGAGGACACTCGCATGTACTGAGAAACACGTGAATCATTCGTGATAAATGCATGCTCTACACGTGACAGCGGGCGTAATGGGTCCTCTGTATGGCCATTGTTTATGAAACACTCCATACGCACCACCTGTATGATCACATTAACAGGTAAACACACTTCTACGAAGTATGCCTGTGATGGGGGGGGGGGCGTTGTGCGAAATGGCTTTGGCCCAGATTTGAAGCAATCTAAAGAGCGTAGTACTACATCTATGGTTAGTGTAATTGCCAAACTTTCGAGTCACACGATCTGAGTGTGCATTTTTGGTCATGTCGACCCAAATCCTAGGGAAATGTTAAAGCGCTGGTTGTGGCTACGGTTCGGCCACATTCGATGTTTTACGATTTTGATGCCGCAGAGTTTTCAAGCAGACTGTAACAAAACTAACCAGTGATCTGAAATAGCCTTTTCGATATCAAGACAGCTAAATTTTGCAGCACACATTACTCGATGAACGTGTCCAGGCTGGTATGGTCACATTCGTCGAACGTTGTTGTGCGGTTTTGAAACCTTACGACTTTTAAGCAGGCTCTTTTTTCCTATGCTGTCACCAAGACCTCAGCTTAGCAGCTGTACCGAATAACGTTTGGTCGCTGACGAGAAGCGCTGAGGTAGGCGTTGACTTTACGTTTGAAGTACGGAAGGTCCCTGGTGTTGACAATGTCCTGTGGGAGACAGTTCCACAGCTTGACTGTAGCAGGGATGAATGTTCTTCTGTGGCAGGAGGATGACGACGTGACAGGTTCAAAGGCTGCACTGTGTTGGGATGTAGATAGGATAGTTTCTCGGCGATGTACATAGGGCTCGGGTAGTAGGCTGTTCAGTGATGTTACGGAACCAACCACCAACACCATCTTTATTGTAACAAGACAGTTGAATTTTGCAGGATTACTTGCAAGACTACCGCAAGAATTCCCTCGTTGCGGTTTTCGATCGTGTGATCGGCCGTGACCTGAAATGCACCGTTTTCTTTATTTAACCTCTCGTCCTAGTCAGTGCGTTTTGTTTTCCAAATTTATCAGAGATGCCGGAGATACTACGCTATGAACGGATGTTAGATATACTGTTACGTAACGTTGATATAATTCTATTTCCTGCACTATATCTGTATATATATATCAAATATTAGACCAATGGAGAAACGTAAATGAGTAGCTGAGTAGCTTGGTGGATAATGGATATAATTCATGATTGAATTCATGTTCGTTCCACGAACTCTTTACATCCAGGAAAGGTAAGAGTAACGATATTATGCGTAACGGAAAGCCTACATATAGCCTACACTATTTGAAATAGTTTCCATTGCCCAAATATGTTTTTTTTTAATATATTCCAACAAGACGTGGTGACGGCACACTCAAGTTTTTTTCAACTTATATTAATGCCGCCACCAACACAGGGGGCAATACAATACTCATTTTCACCTGAGCGAAGTGAGGAAAGTCGTGTTAAGTGCCTTTCCCAAGGGCACAAGATCGGTGGCATGTCAGGACTCGAACCCGAGGCCTCTTGGTTCCGAGTCGAGCACTCTGCCGCTACGCCACACACCCCACCCCCAAAGATGTTTCACATTGTCCTCTCGGCACGTGTGCTTGGAATGGTATGTACACTCCATATTGCATCGTCGGCAGACGAAGCCTGTGTTGAAGAGATCTAGCTATGTCATTACTTGTTTCTAGGAACGACGATTAGAATCGCGTCACAAATTGCTATGCTTTAGAAAAATCATGAAAATTCGTTTCCTCTTTCACAGCTGTTCCCTTACACTTGTTGCCATAAAATCATAAATGTTATGAAAGGTTGGATTTGTCATTGCGTAATAAATCACATCTTGTTAAGTCCCTTTCTATTTAAGGGATGGGAGGAAAGAGCAGTAACGTTACAAAACGTAAAGTGACGCTGTGCACGCCCCCCATAAATCAACAGCGCGCATCCGTTTACTTACGAATCAGTGGAAGCTGTCGTGACCACTTAACGTAAAACCCCCTAACTCGCGGAACGTTTCCTGGCATTGGTCGAGTGCTTTGTTTTCTGGCAGGGAACCCGTGTTGAGTTAGTCATGGTAAATACAGGAGGACATCCGCAACGCGATAACTCCTGTTGGTATAGAGGAAGAGGCAATTAGCGGCTTCTGATGACAGTACAAACATCCACGGGCTGTGCGTTAATGTAGAACGGTACAAAATGCTGCCGTGGACAGATGGGTGGCAGTACAGAGATCGTGCGACCGAGCTACGACAAACGACCGACGCACGAC